CGGCGCTGCGTGGCCGAGCAGCAGAGACGCTGCTCAACGCCTTCGGCGCCGGCGATGCCACCGCGCTGCGCCGAGCCGAGAAATTCGCCAAATCTTCCGACCGCGCGTTGCTCCACCAGAGCCAGCAGCAGCGCGGCGGCGAAGCGACGAAAGGGCGAGGTCCTGGCCAGACGCTGATCAGTCGACTCTGGCTAGCTGAACGGGGGGGACTGGTTGCCCTATGGCGGGCTGCCCACGCTTGGGGCGCGCGCCCATCTGGGCGGAACGGCCGGCGACCCACGCCCGAGCGTGCTGCCAAGCAATCAGAAAAGCTGGTGAAGGAAGGGTTGGTCAGCAAAGCCATGGCCGCCGCCGCTCGCCCTGCAACGACGCCGTAGGGGAGCGGCATCCGCGCCACCCTGCAGGAGCACTTCTCCGAGGCCCCCCCCTTTGTGCAGCGTGGAACGGGCCAGTGCAGCAACTTCTCGACGTGGGCTGTTGTAGCGTGATCTGTTCGCCGCGGTCGTGGGGCGAGTCCGCAGCGCGCCCCGACTGTCTGGCCTTGCGTCGAGCGGCTCTCGCTTTGAACGCTGGCGCGCTCCTCTCGGCTTCCGCCAAGATCGTCGTTCTCTTTCAATGCGTGCAGCTCAGCACATGAGCCGTGAAAGCGAACCTCGGAGCGTCGCTCGGAGCTTGGCCGCAACCAACTGGCGGCATCCGCCCAATTGCACGCTGCAGGGACATGTGGCGACTGGCGGGGCGAGCGGCCTACGCGGTTTTGGCGGACGGCACTGAGGCTGTTTGCGGGCGTTTCCAGTGCGCCGTGGGCCGGCGGGCGAGCTGCGAGTTGGTCCACAAAGCTGTTGGAGGCGAGCCCGCGGGGAATGAAATTGACATTCAGCGCCACGGACGCTTTCAACGCGATCCCTCGGCAGCGAGCTCTGGACAGCGTGGCCCCGCTCGCCCCGGATCTCGGCGCGACGGTGACCTGGCTGGGCAGAGCCGCGACGCATTTTTTTGGAACGACGCCGACGAAGCCGTTGCGGTGCGGGCGGGCGGCCATGGGGGTTGGCCAAGGCTGCCCTCTGTCCCCAGAGCTGTTCGCCATCGCTATCGCCGTCGAATCGCTATCGCTGTTCGACGCGATGACTTTCGCCCTGCCCGAGCGAGCGGCGGCGGGCCAGATCGTCTTCGAGGCGCTCGCCCGGTAGGGGCTGCAGATCAAGCGGGGCAAGGCGCAGGCTTGGAACGACGACGCCAGCTCGGACCCCCCCCATTGCTGGCCAACCGCCGAGTAGCACGCCTGGAGTGTCTCGGCAGCGTGCTGCTGTGGTTGGGCCAGGCGGGCGAGTGAGCCCGTGTCCACGCTGGCACTGACGGCGCTTCCGCGAAGGCCACAGCCGTCGCGTTCGCGTGGCAACTACGGGCCCTCGGCCGAGGCATCTTTCGCGCTGCGTCGAACGTGTGCCCAGGGCGCAGTGGCGGGCCATCCGCGAGCCAACAGCGACCTTTCTTGGGTGGGCCACTCCGACAATGTGGCCTTCGTCTTCCTGGGGGAGCTTCTCAGGGCCTCTCTGGGCCCCGGGCAGCGCGCGCAGGCCACCGAACGCCTCGAGGGCGGCGCGGGCCACCGAGCACCTCGAGGGCGGCGCGGCGTCCTTGCCCTCGGACTGGGCCACCTCCTCAGCCGCGTACGCGGCGAATTAAGGCCTCGCCTTGGAGGAGGTCTTGCAATCCGCCGACTTCCAGAGCTGGGGGGACTTCAGAGCGCGGCGCTGGCTGACGCACCAGGCCCTCGTGATTTCTGGCGCCGACCTCCGTGCCTAAGGCTTGGGGGGCAAGAAGCGGCGAGTTCGATTGGGTGGACTGCTTTCAGAAAGCCCGCTCCCAAGCTGGAAGGTCTGAGGGAGAGGGCGCGCTCCGCGGCCATCGGGGTCAAATTTGTCGACGCGCCAGGGGTGGGCGACCGTCTGGCACTCCTGGCCGCTGGCGTGGCGGGGGCTGGCGGCTTCTTTCTTCCTTGCGAGGAGGGCGACCCGGCCATGCTCGCCGCCATGAAGCTTTACCTCTGGTGCTCTGTCTGCCCGTCGGGCGCTGCGTTGCGTGCCAGCGTCGCCGCGACGACAGTGCGGTCCGCGGCGCACCACTGGACGGTTGCGGGTAGCTCGCGAGGTGGTGCGGAGTTGGGCAGTCCCGCGCCGCCCGCCATGACCACGCGCGGCATTGGCCCGCGAGCGGCTCGTCCCAGGGTGGGGCCGCGTCAACCGACGCACAAGCGTGCTAGAGACCGCCAAGCTGGACGTCGCCACCGCATATGTTGATTGGAACACTACCTGCGGATACTCAAAGTGCGCCCTTCGCAGGCAAGCCCAGTTCGACAACGACGGCGTGGCCGCAGCACCTTAGGTCCAAGAGAAGCGGACTAGGTACCCACCCAAGGAGGGTCACCTTGTTCCCTTAGTCTGCGAAGCGTGGGTTCGCCCGCCCGACGAAGTCGCAATCTTCATGCGAACTCGATGTTGTGGCCTGGGGCGAGGTGTTTGGCAGGGTGTCGCGGGTGTGGCTGCAGCCAGTGGGGCAGCTCCAACGCGGCAGCGCACAGGCGTTAGCGCCATAAGCTGGTGAGGCCCCTCTATCGCGTCATCACGACGGCTCCTACCACCACGCCTACAGTCAACCCGCGTAGTTCGGATGGGCAACATTCCCCAAGGGACCCTTGCATCCTTGCCTCTTCGGTGCATCCTTGGCCAATTTCGTTGACCGCGCCCCGCTCGGAAAGCTTCGAAATGGCTTGCCAAGGCCCTTGCGTCCTTACCGCGCATCCTTGTGATACGGGCCAGCTGTGCCCTGCACGACCGTGACCACGACGGCGACCCCGTCAGTGGCGGCGAGCAGAGCCACGGCGGCGACGGGCGGCGACGGGCGGCCGCGAGCCGGCCGGACCGCCACTGGGACCCAGCGGCGACGGCGACGGGCGGCGACGGGCGGCGACGAGCCGGCCTGACCGCCACCCAGGCCCAGTTACCTTAGCACGCAAGTCAGAACCCCTAAGTTCAAACACTGTCTCGGGAATTACATCATTGAGTAATCATGGGATAACGCAGCCTGGCCAGGGGTGCCACCGGGCCAGGCCTCATGAGGCCAGAGGCGGTGGCCGGCACGGGACCATGAACCATAACTCCACTGCCCGGGAGTCCCCATGTATGAAGGGTGCCCCCGAGACTTTAGGAGGGCTGGAGGGAGGGAGAGAGGGGGAGGTTGATTCGGAGAAGGATAAGCACACTACTAAGAAGGATGATGATGATGATGATGATGATGGTGATGATGATGATGATGATGGTGATGATGATGATGGTGATGATAGTAATGATAGTGGTGGTGGTGATGATGATGGTGGTGGTGGTGATGGTGATGTTGATGTCGATAACGATGGCAATGACAATGATGATGATCATGAAGGTGATGGCGATGGTGGTGGTGATGATGAAGATGATGATGGTGCTGATGATGAGGCTGATGATGATGATGATGGTGATGGTGATGATGATGCTGGTGATGGTGATGATGATGGTGGTGGTGACGAAGAAGATGAATATGAAACATGAATATGCTTCTGACGATGCTGATGCTGATGATGATGACGATGATCATGCTGATGATGGTAATGATGATGATGATGATGATGATGATGATGATCGTGGTGGTGGTGGTGGTGGTGGTCGTGGTGGTGATGAGGATGAAGATAATGACGATGATGTTGCTCATAATGCTGATGATGCTGATGATGATGATGATGGTGAGGATGGTGATGATGGTGATGGTGATTGTGATGATGTTGGTGATGATGATGATGATGATGATGATGATGATGATGATGGTGGTGGTGATCATGAATATGAAGATGAAGACGACGATGAAACTGAAGATGAATATTCTGATGATGATGATGATGATGATGGTGGAGGTGAAGATGACGATGAAGATGAACATTACTGTGAAGGTGATGATGATTCTGATGATGGTGATGATCATGCTGATTATGATGATGATGATGCTGATGATGATGGCGATGATGATGATGCTGATGACGTTGATGATGAGGATGAGGATGAGGATCTGGATAAGGATCATTGTGCTGATGATGGTGGTGATTCAGATGATGATGCTGCTGCTGCTGATTATGATTATGATGATGCAGATGATGTTGCTGCTGCTGACGATGATGATAACGAGGATGATGATGATGACGATGATGATGATGTTGATGATCCTGGCGATGATGATGTTGATGTTGATGATGCTGATGCTGATCATGATGATGATGATGATGATGATGATGATGATGATGATGAAGATGATGATGATGATGATGATGATGATGATGATGATGATGATGATGATGATGATGATGATGATGATGATGATGATGATGATGATGATGATGATGATGATGATGGAGAGATGAGGATGAGGATGATGATGATGATGATGATGATGATGATGATGATGATGATGATGATGATGATGATGATGATGATGATGATGATGATGATGATGATGATGATGATGATGATGGACGAGGAGGAGCAGGAGGAGGAGGAGGAGGAGGAGGAGGAGGATGAGGAGGAAGAGGAGGAGGAGGAGGAGGAGGAGGAGGAGGAGGAGGAGGAGGAGGAGAAGCCCGTATAGGATCGGGTTTCCCTGCACAGGCCCGCATCCAAGGCGGGGCCCGGATGTAGGTGGAGGAGGACGAGGGTTCTTGGACATCCAGCCGCACATCGCGACAGGGGCTCCACGCCGTGGGCTAGCGCGAACGTCACGAGCATGTCGAGAAAGCATGCGGCGGTGGAGAGGGCGAGGAGAGGCAGGAGGAGGTGGAGGAGCAGTTGGCACTGTGAATGCCCGTCGCCGTTTCGGCTCGATCCGTTTCGCTTGGCCAGCTTCTTCTGCGGGCCGCCCGCTGGGCGGACAGCTCACGGGCACCGACTGGCGAGCGCGGCAGCCCGACCCTCGTCGCTGCCATGGCGCCCGCCTGCTTGGCGGCGCTCGCGCCACTTGCTCTCGCGCCCGCCGCCAGCGCTTTTCCGTCCTTCCGCACGAGGGTGCCGATGGGCACCCGGGTGCCTTGCCCGCCAGGAGCCGAGGGCTGCTCGGAGGGCTCTGCCGGCCTGGGCGAGCCCGCATCAGTCTGCCGCGGGCTGGGCCACACCAGCTGTGCGGGTGGCACGCCGACGCTTAACCCCTTCGGCGAGGCGCTGCGTGCTGCCGACTTCCAGTGGACGACGGCGCTCTGCCAGGCGGACAGCGACGGCGACGGCCAGACCAACGGCCAGGAGCTCGGCGACCCGTGCTGCCCGTGGTTCACCGGCGCGCCAGACTCAGCGTACATGGCGGGCTTCAGCCCTTCGCACCCTGGGGACGCGGCCAGCAACCAGGGAGCGGGGTATGGGTCCCCAGAGTGCGACGCAGGCGTTGCTCCCGCCTGGCCAGTCGATCAGGTGGCCGCGTTCAACCATGGCGAGGAGCAGCGACGGGTGGACTTCATCATCAAGAACTACACGATCCCATCTGAGAGGACCACCTACGTGGACTTCGTTTTCAACTTCCGCGATACGGATCACTCGGTCTACCACATCGTCTTCGGCGAAGCTCTGGTGGACCAGCCGAGGCACCTGCACCACTACGTCGTCACGGGTTGCGACAGGCATGTGGCTGACTACCTCGAGGGCGTTCCCAATCCCGCTATCGGGGGTATCGACTGCAACATTCCCGTCGGTGGCTTCTCAGGCTGGGCACCCGGTGCTGTCCTCTGGGACATACCGGTGCATGTGGGGGTGCCCATCGGCGAGGGCGTCGGGATCGTGGGCTTCAGGGTGGAAGTTCACTTCACGGACGGAGACCTCTATCCGGGCGGCGTCTCCCAGGACGGGCTTAGAGTGCACTACACGCCCGATCTGCGCAACGACACAATGGACACCACCACCCCGATCTTCATCCCACGCAACCCCAGCATGGTCATTCCACCAGGCCTGAACCGCTGGTTTGTCACCCGCACCTGCGAGGTGTTGGATGTCTGCGAAGACGTTGCCGACGAGCTTGCGATGGAAATGACGGGCGGCCAGACGTGCAGCACGATTTCTTCGTCGTTCGGCCCGGCGGCTTGCAACGTCGAATACATCCAGCGTTATTGTCCGGTCACCTGTGGTATCACCTCCAAGTGCCTAGCTATACAGAAGGGTGGTGCCCTCCCCCTGGTAAGCGTCAATTTCCACGGGCATCTCCTGGGATCCGAGATGTATCAGACCCTGACACGCGAGGGGGTGACGTACAACCTGGGCAGCGCGTTCCCCTGGCACTTCGACGACCAGGTGACCAACTCGCTGCTGTCCATGAACCTCAGCGTCCAGGCAGGCGACGTCCTCCAGTCCACCTGCGTCTACCAGTCGGCCTCGCGCTCGGAGATATGGGGGACGTCAACCGACCACCCCACCGATTCTGGCTGGGCCCGTCCTGGGCCAAGAGTCGGTGCATGTATTAGGGAGGGCCCAAGATGGGCCCGGCCAGGATCGGTGGGGTGATCAGTTGATGCCCCCCGAGGAGGGGACCAGCTTCGGAAAGGAGACCGTGGACGAGATGTGCATCATCGCCCTCGGGACCCTGCGGAGCTCCACCACCGATCCGCCCCTCATGGCGTTCGGCTGCCGGGGCGACGCCTGGACTGGGCAGCTGTCGCCCGGCGAGGACGGCCTCCAGGCAGTTTTTTCTTACTTTGGTTTTTGTCTCATGTTTTTGCTTTTGCTGTTTTTGTTATGTTTTGGTCGTTCTTGTTGTTGCTGTTGCTGTTCCTGCTGTTGTGTTTGTTGTTGTTGTTGTTGTTGTTGTTGTTGTTGTTGTTGTTGTTGTTGTTGAATTCTCATTTCTGAAGAATAATTATTGTTGATCCCCCCTCACCGGTGCATGCTATTGTTTCTCAATCAATGTGTGCCCCTCGACGCTCGCACTCTGTTTTTTATCAGGGAAAGTCTTGAGGCTCAAACCGGGCCCCTGGCCCCCTGGACTACAGCAACAACGGCTCCCGCCTGAGACGTCCTCCAAATTTGCTCAGGAATCGCCCGCCCGTCGTGGGCTCCCGCCCGAGACTTCCTTCAGGAACGGCGCTTTCGCCTAGGACTTCCTCGAACGTTCACGCTCTTACCTTCCTGCTCCTCCTCCCTCTCCCTCCTCCCTCCTTTCTCCTCTCCGCCCTTCTCTCTCCCTCCTCTCTTCCCTCATCCTTCTGCCTCTCTGCCCATCCCCTCTCCCTCCTCTCCCTCCTCCCTTCTCCCTCCCCTCTCCTGCCTCCTCCCTCCCTTTTTTTTCCCTCTCTCTCTCTCTCTCTCCTTTTTTTTGTTTCTCTCTCTCTCTCTCTTTCTCTCTTTCTCGACCTCTTTTATTTGTCTCTCTCTCTCTGTCTCTGCCTCTAATGAACCGCCCCCCTCTTCGCTCCTTCTCTCCTGGCGTTTTCCCCCTTCCTTCGTCCCTCCCGCTCCCTTCCTCCCACTCTCCCTCGTTCTCCCCCTCCTCTTTTTGCAGGGCCCACACCAATTCCCATGGCGGGTACATGTACGCCCACGAAGGATTGTCTGCCCGTTCAGGTTTGCCCGCCTGTCTAAGCCCGCCGCCCCCCGCATAGAGAATACTCCCCCCAAAGGGGGTGTGATCGAAGACAAAAAGGGCGGGTATCGAGGGTGTGGGGAACTCGTTTAGAATGACACACGGGCAAGAAAGAGCGAACAGTCTTACAATGATTGTTGTTGTTGATGTTGTTGTTGTGATTGTTGTTGTGCCTGTTGTTGTTGTCGTTGTTGTTGTTGTTGCTGTTGTTGTGGTTGTTGTTGTCGTCGTCGTTGTTGTAGTAGTAGTAGTAGTAATAGTAGCAGTAGTAGTTGTTGTTGCTGTTGTTGCTGTTGTTGCTGTTGCTGTTGCTGCTGTTGTTATTGTTGTTGTTGTTGTAGTTGTTGTTGTTGTAGTTGTTGTTGTTGTTGTTGTTGTTGTTGGTGTTGTTGTTGTTGCTGCTGCTGCTGCTGTTGTTGTTGTTGTTGTTGTTGTTGTTGTTGTTGTTGTTGTTGTTGTTGTTGTTGTTGTTGTTGTTGTTGTTGTTGTTGTTGTTGTTGTTGTTTTGTTGTCGTTTTGCATGATATTCTTTGTATTCTCATCAATCCTGTGGTATTTTGGATCTTTTTTTGAAGAGACAGCGCCCCGCGTCACCTCCCCTCTCTCCTCCTCCCTCCCATCCTTGCTTCCGCCCTCCTCATGTCCATGTCCATAGGGAGTTCCAACCAAGGCCCCAGGGTGAGGGGACAACATGCGGTCCCCCAGCCATTTCGGCGCACCCCTCACCTGTTTCGCGGCCCCATGGAGCTCCGACTGAGGCCCCTGGGGGCGGGGGTACCGCATGCGGCCCCCCAGCCCATGTCGGCGCACCCCTCACACATGTCGTGGCCCCATAGCGAGCTCCAACTAAGGCCCAGTGGCACATCCCGCATGCGACCTCAGGCCATATTCCAGCACACCCCTCGCACGTTTCGCGGCCCCAGAAGTAGGGGGCTCCACCGAGGGCGCCAGTGGCAGCCCCCGCATGCGTCACGGAGGCCCATTGTGGCACACCCTCACCAGAGCAGTAGGAAACAGTTCTGAGTAAGGTGAGGGATGCAACGCAAAGCATCGCTTGGTATTGCTTGGCTTTGCCTTGCATTTCTTCGCATTGCTGGGAATCGTTGCTTGGCATTGCTTGGCATTGCTCGGCTTTGCTTGGAGTCACTGCTTCGCATTGCTTGGCGTTGCTTGCCATTGCTCGGTGCTGCTTGGCATTGCTTGGCGTTGCTTTGCGTTGCTTTGCACGGCATCGGGCGGAGTGCGAGAAACAAGACTGGGGAACGGGGGAAGGTCAGGACAAGGGATCCCCCAAAGGAAGGTAAGGAACGAGACTTGTGAACCCAAGGAGGGAACGCAAGGAACAAGACCGTGGAACCGAGGAAGGCAGAGGGCCGCCTCACCAAGGCGACCTGGCGAACTCTGGCTCCCCACAGAAAAGGCAAGAACCCCCGGGCAACGCCCGAACCGGGGAACCAGAAGCAGAGGTCGCGCTGGGGCACCCGGCGTCGGAGGCGACGCTGGTCTGGCGCCCGGGGCCCTACGGCAGCGTCGTCTCCAACCCGTCGCCGCTGCGCTGGGAGCCGGAGCAGGAGACGACGGCGCCCGCGGGGGGGCCCGGGGCGGAGGATGCGGAAGACCTGGCCTCCGGTGCGGGGCGCGCCTGCGCCGCCACCCCCGCGCTCCTCGCGGGGCTCGTAGCCGGCGCGGCGGTCTGCTAGCTGGTCCGCCGGCTGGGCCGCGTGGGTGTGCGCCCTGCTCCGGCTCTTCTGCACGGGCGAAATGGGCTCGGAAAAGAATGGGTACTAATGCCCCACAGCGGATCTGGTTCATTTTGAACAGGACTCGCTGTCCACGCCGCCGCAGCCTGTGTTCATTCGAGGCAGAAGGCCGCCTGCCCAACAGCGGCCGCTGCTGGTTTGGGGCAACCTTTCTTGTTGGGCATTGTACCCATTCTTTCCGTACCCATTTCGGGCGTCCAGAGCTCTCTCTCTCTCTCTCGCTCTCTCTCTCTCTCTCTCCTCCTCTGCTGCTTTTCCCTCAGAGTTCATGGCCGAGGCGTGGTATCACTCAGGCGCCTTCTCGTCCCGCCCAGGGGGGCGCGGCTTGACCCGCAGCAGCGCGGGATGGACGCTCCCCCGCTCGCTCCTTCTCCTTTTCCTTCCTCCTGGGTTTCTGGGCTCTGCCTTCCCCCCCTCCCCGCCTTCGGTCACTTTTTGCCCAGAAGGGCTTACTCTCAGTAGCAGAGCCCCTGAACAGCAAATGCGGGGACCTTAGATGTGTTTCGGTCGGGAACTTTTGCTTATCGTGTTGCTCCGCCAGTTCTGGCCCACCACGCCTCGGCGCCCGCACGCCAGCCGCGCCAGCCGCTGCAGGCCCGACAAGGAGTGCCATACGCCGCGGCGGTGGTCGTCGTGGGAGGAGGAGGAGGAGGAGGCGGAGGAGGAGGAGGAGGAGGAGGAGGAGGAGGAGGCGGAGGAGGAGGAGGAGGAGGAGGAGGAGGATGAGGATGAGGAGGAGGAGGAGGAAGAGGAAGAGGAGGACCAACATAGGACCCTACAACGGTTCATTTCCATTGAGGGAACTGCTTCGTTGGAAAACAACCGTTTGAAGACCCTGGAGCATGCCAAACCAGTGTTCTCGGGATTCCAACGCCACGGATCAACCTGACTGTTGCGTGTTGACGATCTTGAATCGTTCCAGAACGCCACTCCGAGGACTCCTGAATCCTTCCAAAACACTATTTTTGGTACGTTGATGTTGGGAATCGTGAAACTTTGGAGAATGTTGTAAACGAATGTGCGCCGCGCTGAAGCGAGAGCCACATTTTCAAAAGGAGCCGCCCTCAATTCGTGAAGCTCTTTAAATGTTTACAACAAATGTGCGCCGCGCTAGGGCGAAAGCCACATTTCGAAAACAACCCGCTCTCAATCCGTGAAGTTCTCGCCAATTTTTCAAACGAATGTGCGCCGCGCTAACGCGAGAGCCACATTTTCAAAACCACTCGCCCTCAATCCGTGACGCTCTTGAAAGTTTTTCAAAAGAATGTGCGCTGCGCTAAGGCGAGAGCGACATTTTGAAAACGACCCGCCCTCCATGTGTGAAACTATTGCCAACTCTTAAGCTTCAGAGTCATAAGTGGTGAGGAAGTCTCAGGCGAAACGCCCGGCCCGCCCAACACACTGGCTTCGGGGTGCGACAGGGAGAAGTTATTCACAAGAAAAAAGGAATGGAGGAGGGGGAGGAGGAAGAGGAGGAGGAGGAGGAGGAGGAGGAGGAGGAGGTGGAGGATGAGGAGGAGGACCAGTGTAAACCCAAGAGTCATCAACGATGTTGGAGTAAACCCTCCCTCCAAGCTCCCTCTTCATGGGACCCTACAACGGTTCATGTCCATTGAAAGAACTGTTTCGTTGGAAGACAATCGTTTGAAGACCCTGAAGCATGCCAACACATTGTTCTCGGGACTCAAACGCCACGGATCAACCTGACTGTTGCGTGTTGACGATGCTGAATCGTGACAGAACGCCAACTGTTGCGCCCGCGTAGTCTTGAATCCGTTCAAAACACCATGTCTGGTACGGTGATGATGGAAATCATGAAAGTCTTGCATTTTTAACACGAAGGTGCGCCGCGCTCAAGCGGGAGCCACATTTTGAGCACCACTCGCCCTCAATCCGTGAAGCTCTTCAAATGTTTAAGACGAATGTGCGCCGCGTTAAGGCGAGAGCCACACTTTGAAAACCACTCGCCCTCAATCCGTGAATCTCTTCAACTTCAAACAACGAATGTGCGCTGCGTTAAGACGAAAACCACATGTTGAAAACCACTTGCCCTCAATCCGTGAAGCTCTTGCACATTTTTAGAACGAATTTGCGCCTCGCTGATGCGAGAGCCACATATTGAAAACGGCCCGCCCTCAATCCGTGAAGCTTTGAATACTTTGATAAAACGAATGTGCGCCGCGCTAAGGCGAGAACGACATTTTGAAAACGACCTGCCCTCAATCCGTGAAACTGTTGCCGATGCTTGCAGCTTCGGAGCCATGGTGAGGGAGTCGCAGGCGAAACGCCCGGCCCGTCCTAAACACTGGCTTCGGGGTGCGGCAGGGAGAAGTTATTCACAAGAAAAAGGATCGGAGGAGGAGGAGGAGGAGGAGGAGGAGGAGGAGGAGGAGGAGGAG